CTCCGCACACTGAGCTCTGATTGGTCAGCAGGCAGTGCTTTTATCCTGGAACCTATCCTGCTCCGGAGGATAGCCGTTCAGAATAAGTTATCTAGCCCGCTAAGAAGTGAACCAGCTTCGTAGGACCGGAAACCCCTGAAGTTAGCTTGCTAAACGAAAATCTTGCTTCGTAGTATACCCCTCAGGCCTCTGATATTGGCTGTCTTTATTTTGATTGTTGTATATTTTTGTGTGTCTTGTAAATTGTACTGCTAATGAACCTGTGATCGAAGTGTTTCATAATTACACTGGAGTGTATGTGTTATGACAATAAACCTTTGAATCTTGAATCTTTAGCATGCTGATTTGTTAGCTTTAAATCAGGACAGGTATCCTTTAAAATGTTACATCAAATCATTTCATATCAGGGCTTACACTCTTTGTACACAAATGCTTCATTTCCAGCATGGAAGTGCCCACCTGGAAATGAAGGAAAGACATGGATAGTAGCTCGTCGGTCCAAAGCTATTTGTAACACATGAACGTATCTTCAGGCAGGAATGAAGGAAGAAGCATTTTCTTTAAAGGGTTGCAACATAACTTTATTTGTTTTGTACAGTATTTCCACTGAACAACTTTAAATTCAATATATTTTCCTTTACATTTGTAATATTGTTGCTGTTTCTTGTATGTTCATGTTTGTGTGTCATGTTCAGTTGAAGTGTACACGTTTCTCGTCACTCATTCATACCGTCGGTAAAGTCAAGTCAAGTCACAGTTCTTTTTAAAGATGGGTCATTTTGAGCAAAACGGAAAATCATGAACAAGAATAGAGTAAATAAATACATGTAAAAGCAATGAGAGGACCAGAGCAGAGGACTGGTCAGTGATGGCATATGGAAAGGTATTCTTTACAAACACGTAGCATTGTAAACATTTGAAGCAACATTACTTGACCAAGCCGAGCGTGGCTTCAGATTTAGATAAAGACATGAACAGCTTCTAGGACGGAAGACAAGTCAGATTTGAGATATTTAGTGATGTCTGTTCATTCCCCTTTAGATAACAAGGGTCCTGATCATGCAGCCTGACTAGGACCAACCTTTCAACACAATTATCCAAAAATATAGCCCAGAACATCCTGAGCAGAAAAGGCTTGGCTCCTCACCTCCTATTTGATATATTTGTTTACTTCCTGTGACATGTTCCAACGAGGCTTTTTCTCCACTTCTCAGAAGTGATTAGAATTGCATCTGAATCCCTGTCGATGTATCAGAACATACATATAGTTTAACTTATAATACTTTTTAATGTAAATCACTATTTCTGAATCCCAGATGTTATGTTAGAAAAAAAAAAGAAAGTCAAGTAGTTGCCTCGGTTAGCTCCGCCTCTGAGAGCAAGGGGGGTCTTTGCCTCTGTTAGCCCCGCCTCTGAGAGCAAGGGGGGGTCTTTGCCTCTGTTAGCTCCGCCTCTGAGAGCAAGGGGGGTCTTTGCCTCTGTTAGCTCTGCCTCTGAGAGCAAGGGGGGTCTTTGCCTCTGAGAGCAAGGGGGTCTTTGCCTGTTAGCTCCGCCTCTGAGAGCAAGGGGGGTCTTTGCCTCTGTTAGCTCCGCCTCTGAGAGCAAGGGGGGTCTTTGCCTCTGTTAGCTCCGCCTCTGAGAGCAAGGGGGGTCTTTGCCTGTTAGCTCCGCCTCTGAGAGCAAGGGGGGTCTTTGCCTCTGAGAGCAAGGGGGGTCTTTGCCTCTGAGAGCAAGGGGGGTCTTTGCCTCTGAGAGCAAGGGGGGTCTTTGCCTCTGAGAGCAAGGGGGGTCTTTGCCTCTTGAGAGCAAGGGGGGTCTTTGCCTGTTAGCTCCGCCTCTGAGAGCAAGGGGGGTCTTTGCCTCTGAGAGCAAGGGGGTCTTTGCCTGTTAGCTCCGCCTCTGAGAGCAAGGGGGGTCTTTGCCTCTCTGGGGGGGGGGGGGGGGGGGATTTTGGACAATATTTATTGCAGTCTTCAGGATGATTTAGCAGATTTCTCTCACTCTCTAAACAGTAGTTGAACTTGAGAGCAAACTGAGACGAGAGGGACTGAGCTTTTGCAGCTTCGACTGAAACGAAGCCAATTACATCAATTTAATTGTGAAACCCAGAAGTGGGTCAATCCAACCAGCCTCCAGGATGACAACACTTTGGTAAACTCTGACAAAACATGTCAGGACCTGCATTTGTCTGCTATGATAGTCGCTTACGTTTCCACAACTTGCATCATGTGCCACGTCTAAGTACATTTCTATCAGCGCAGAGTTTCTCTACAGAGGGGCCGCAATATCTTTGAATCATTTCATATGGGGGGGGGGGGGGGCATCCCACCAATAGACAAGTAGCTGGAAAGCCCCGTGTTTATGCATTTACTCAAGTAACCAGATAATTACACTGCCTTCATTCCATTCCTTTGTTTTTAGGCGCCCACGGTAATGCATGCCACTTTTCCAAAGAAAGCACGGCAAATAATGCAACTTTGAAGATCAGGAAAATAGAGCAGCAATGTTCTGCACGAAACGTGTGCACATTCAAGTAAATAAAAGATAGAAAGAAGAACAAATCTCTAAGTCAAAGACAGACAAACGAGAACCTCCAGTCTTTGTTGGTCGGATTGGCACTTTTGTGAATCGGAGTGCATTTTGTTTTTCAGAAATATAAATATTTTTCCTGGTCGATGCACTGTTTGTTTTTTTTCTGTATATATATGTATGTATGTATATATATATATATAGAGATTTTTTTTAACATTGCAATTCTGGCGTTATTTGTAGGCCAAGCACAGAATCGGCCATGAAACCCAAGACTTCAGTTATAAACACTGCTCTACACATCCGTCATGTAGAGGAAAGTTCTTGATGCTCAATTATTCATGATTTCAACTCTTATGTCTGCTGGGAGCACGCGTGATCTGTGGATTACATCCATCTCACTAACCCTAGCTTAGAATAGCCAGATTTAGCCGTATGATATTCTGCACGCTATGTAATAACCAAATAGGAAAAGTCGCTGATTATCCCCCAAAAAAATGCAACCATATAACAGAGAATTGGTTGAAAAGAACGATTTTTGAGGAGCGTGTATCCCAAACTTGTTACACGATATCCAATAGTTAAATCTGTTATATTTGAGTTTGTAATTCTGTTTTTAGTTGCATGATTTGATGCTAAGGCGGGTCAGTAACCCACAGAGCAGACGCAGTCCCAGACTCAGACGCAGTCAGAGTCAATCTGTTCCTCACACAGTGCCGTCAGTCAACATCAGTTCTGCTCCATCCATAAAGCCTTAAACGCTGACCTGGGATCAGCCTCTGTCGCGAGCAGAGCTGATCCCAGGTCAGCGTTTACAGTTGGCGAGTTTAAACCATCGTAAGTCACGTGGCTAGAAACAACCAAAAAGTTTCCATGAGACCTCTGTGCGCACCGAGTCGCCTTTACAACTCGGGACAAATCTCTAAAACAGAAAGTTAAAAAAGTAAATACGGAAAAAGTGCTCAAAAAAAAAAAAATGCCAAAACGGCAATTTTCACACGAGAAGCAAAACTTTCTCATGAAATAACTTCTTTTTTTTTCACTCCAAAGACTATGGAAACTTTTTTTGCTGTTAGCCACTCATCTGTAAGAGGTGTGTGTACAGTGTCTGCTGGTGTTGTATGCAAGTGTGCATGAAGTGTGCGCAAATATATATTTATATATAATGCAAATACATCGTAATTCAAATATATACTCATACTCGAATTTGTGATTAGGCTCGTCACTCGTCTGACATGTATCCCTAGCCAAACCCGGGTTAGTTTTTAGACCCACGAGGGGACACAGACTTTCCTTCATAGGCAGAGGAAAGGCTGTTTACATCACTATCACAACGGACCCATGCTAAATCATCACCAGCTGGAATTCCCACTCCTCCAAGATATAGTGATAAAGAATGCCATAGGTTATATATAGCACTACACAAAACACCACCACCGTCACTACACTTTAAACACCACCAAACCGGTTAGTTGTGGCCCACTTTTTTTTAGTTTTTTTACATTTCTTCACACTGATCTCGGTCTCTCTGTGCCAACTGTGTGTGTGTGTGTTTGGCCAGGGATACTCAGTGACTGTACGCAGGGTAATATAACACCATGCAACAACCCCACCACGTGCAGCTGGGGAGGGAGGGGCACAGCGCCTCGTTCACTAGCATCTTGTTCACTTCGATGAAATCAGAAACTATAAATATGTCTGGTATTTCACGCTTTAAACCTCTTTAATTTGTTGAAGTATATAAAAATATGAATGCTTTTTGCTGCTGTGTGAAGGCACCGTGTCCCCCTTTAACCCCAGCTGTGCTTTGTTTAATGGTTAGATCACTTCATAATTCATTGTTATAACACAGCACACGACGAACATTGGATCTCTAACTATACCACCCCCTTTTCCAATATCTCACCCCAAACCCTTCCTACGTTCAGAGACACACTCATTCCCACCCGTCCTGAAATGTATCCCGCTAAAGAAAATGTTAAATGAAGGGGGAAAATAAATCACACTTCTAGCTTAGGTGTGCAGAGATCAGCCCTAAGCCTAAATAAAGAAATCACAAGCACTAAAACAGGTTCAGATAAATAAGTGTCGGGGGGGAAATAACTAAAACAAAAAAGGGTCATATATCTGTCGTTTCTCTCTTTTCAATAAGGTCGGACTGACATCAAGAGCTAGGCGTATTTCACCTCATGCACCCCCCCCCACTTTGCCTGGGGCTGCATGGGTAATCCTGAAAATAGGAATGTCCCGTTGGGGAAAGAAATGAGTTTATATAAACCGACAAACCAGCGCTACTGCAGATGAGAGCGTTAGCATGGCAGCTACATGTCTGTGTGTGCGTTTGAAGCCGGGACAGACTCACACTGCAGGGCGACCACTTCCTCAGTGACGCAGTTTCTGTGGCGCTCTCCCATTGGCCAGATATCACTCTGCAGGAAGTCAGTCCACTGCTTTGTAGAAAGAAAGGGGGGGGGGGGGGGGGGGGGGGCGGCGGGGGGGTTTGTCTGGAGAGCGGGACAGTTTTCCTCCAAGAGGTGTGTGTGTGTGTGTTAACGGTAGGGGGTCGATGTGGGTTGACTCCGGCTTCTCCATGAGATAAGGAGGTACAGAGGGGGGGGGGGGGGGGGGGTGCAAGGTGTATTTTAGAGGAGAGAGGAGGGGACTTATAGCTGGAAGCCCTCCATAGGGGCCTCCTGCGGGGGGAAGAGGAACTGCTGGTTGGCTGCGTCCACCTGCGGGGCGAGGCTGTTGTCCTCGTCCTCCGTGCCGAAGTAATGCTCGATGAGATCGAAGGCCTTCTGGTAGATCTCCTGGTTGTCGTGGCTCTGGAGGAACTCGATTTTGTCGAGACCTGGAAGTGAAATAAGCGTTAGATCAATATATCTAATAGCGTATCTTTAAACTACCCAAGTAGACTTGTTGCACTACTTTTTATTTTGTATTTCATTATATATGTTGCGTAATCTTCCCTCAGGGACTTATTCCGGTGTGAACGCGATCGGCTCTTAGTCCCATGGGGGAACTAAGTGCTGGGTACTAAGTGCAGGGAACTAAGTGCAGGGAACTAAGTGCTGGGAACTAAGTGCTGGGCACTAAGTGCTGGGCACTAAGTGCTGGGCACTAAGTGCTGGGCACTAAGTGCTGGGCACTAAGTGCTGGGCACTAAGTGCAGGGCACTAAGTGCTGGGCACTAAGTGCTGGGCACTAAGTGCTGGGCACTAAGTGCTGGGCACTAAGTGCTGGGCACTAAGAGCTGGGCACTAAGAGCTGGGCACTAAGTGCTGGGCACTAAGTGCAGGGAACTAAGTGCTGGGAACTAAGTGCAGGGAACTAAGTGCTGGGCACTAAGTGCTGGGCACTAAGTGCTGGGCACTAAGTGCTGGGAACCAAGTGCAGGGAACTAAGTGCTGGGCACCAAGTGCTGGGAACTAAGTGCAGGGAACCAAGTGCAGGGAACCAAGTGCTGGGAACTAAGTGCTGGGCACTAAGTGCTGGGAACTAAGTGCTGGGCACTAAGTGCTGGGCACTAAGTGCTGGGCACTAAGTGCTGGGCACTAAGTGCAGGGAACTAAGTGCTGGGCACTAAGTGCTGGGCACTAAGTGCTGGGCACTAAGAGCTGGGCACTAAGAGCTGGGCACTAAGTGCAGGGAACTAAGTGCTGGGAACTAAGTGCTGGGAACTAAGTGCAGGGAACTAAGTGCAGGGAACTAAGTGCTGGGCACTAAGTGCTGGGCACTAAGTGCAGGGCACTAAGTGCTGGGAACTAAGTGCAGGGAACTAAGTGCAGGGAACTAAGTGCAGGGAACTAAGTGCTGGGAACTAAGTGCAGGGAACTAAGTGCTGGGAACTAAGTGCTGGGAACTAAGTGCTGGGTACTAAGTGCTGGGAACTAAGTGCTGGGAACTAAGTGCAGGGAACTAAGTGCAGGGAACTAAGTGCAGGGCACTAAGTGCAGGGCACTAAGTGCAGGGAACCAAGTGCAGGGCACTAAGTGCTGGGCACTAAGTGCAGGGCACTAAGTGCTGGGCACTAAGTGCTGGGCACTAAGTGCAGGGCACTAAGTGCAGGGAACTAAGTGCTGGGCACTAAGTGCAGGGCACTAAGTGCAGGGCACTAAGTGCAGGGCACTAAGTGCAGGGTACTAAGTGCAGGGAACTAAGTGCAGGGAACTAAGTGCAGGGAACTAAGTGCTGGGCACTAAGTGCAGGGTACTAAGTGCAGGGAACTAAGTGCAGGGAACTAAGTGCAGGGAACTAAGTGCAGGGAACTAAGTGCTGGGAACTAAGTGCAGGGAACTAAGTGCAGGGAACCAAGTGCAGGGAACCAAGTGCTGGGCACTAAGTGCTGGGAACTAAGTGCTGGGAACTAAGTGCAGGGCACTAAGTGCTGGGCACTAAGTGCTGGGCACTAAGTGCTGGGCACTAAGTGCAGGGAACTAAGTGCTGGGCACTAAGTGCAGGGAACTAAGTGCTGGGCACTAAGTGCAGGGCACTAAGTGCAGGGCACTAAGTGCAGGGTACTAAGTGCTGGGCACTAAGTGCAGGGCACTAAGTGCAGGGTACTAAGTGCTGGGAACTAAGTGCAGGGAACTAAGTGCTGGGCACTAAGTGCAGGGTACTAAGTGCAGGGAACTAAGTGCAGGGAACTAAGTGCAGGGAACTAAGTGCAGGGAACTAAGTGCAGGGAACTAAGTGCAGGGAACTAAGTGCAGGGAACTAAGTGCAGGGAACTAAGTGCAGGGAACTAAGTGCAGGGAACTAAGTGCTGGGAACTAAGTGCAGGGAACTAAGTGCTGGGAACGTACTTGGTGTGAAAGCGGCTCTTGATGCTGACATTCCTCGACTCATTTACCTATTGTTTGATTAAATATTTCCTACACAAAGATGAATCATGTTTGTTTTATCTTCCTTAAGGTATTGCACATTGCTTTGACATAGGTACCAAAACTGATTACTGTTCAAAACAAAGCCACCCTTCTTTCTAACGACATCCTCACTACACGTTTGTCTCAGGTAATGTTTCATGCTCCTAATGCTGTTGTGTGGACACGCTGCAGTACCATATGCTTCTTCGATGAGGCTGCAGTAGGGGTTGACCCCGCTGCCGCTGTTCTCCTGCTTGGCTTCCTGCTCTCCCAGCCTCAGGATGTTCTCCAGCCCGTTCAGAGCCACCTGAACGATCTTAGAGTCCATCACCGTCAGCAGGTCACACAGCGGCTTAATGCAGCCCAGGTTCACCAGGTATCTATACGCACACACACACACACACACACACACACACACACACACACACACACCATTACATTTAATGACCATGCTAAAGATGGGGATGTTCAAAGATAAACAGAAAGCCTGAGGTCGAGCTCCACCCGACTTCTTTCTCCACCCGGCTGTCAGGAGGCTGAACTCTCTCACCTCCCTCCCCCCTCTGCCCCCACTGGACTTTAACACCCCCCCCCCCCCCCACACTCAAATCCAAACCCTTTTTACGCTGCGATGGACAATATTGCAATAATGCACATTCAATGATCAATCTGCCCTAATGTGCATTCTCAAAATATTGAAGTGCCTGTTATTTTGTATATATATATATATATATATATATATATATATATATATATATATATATATATATATATATATATATATATATATATATATATATATATATATATATATATATATATATATATATATATATATATATATATTGATTTTTGTGTTTTTATTTAGGTCTTAAATGGAAGATTGACAATAAAGTTGACTTTGAAAAAAAAAAGGTCTTTTTACTTTCTCTTAAAGCGTGACTTAATATCTTTAAGTGATTTTTAGTAAGTCTTTTATCTAAAAGATAAAGATTAGAGGTGTGACGACCCCCCCACACCACATGGGGTGCCGTCTGTTCGTGGGTGATTGCAGGTTCCAGTGCATGATGAGCTGCACCTGATGAGCTGCACCTGATGAGCTGCACCTGCCTGATGATGAGCTGCACCTGCCTGATGATGAGCTACACCTGCCTGATGAGCTGCACCTGCCTGATGATGAGCTACACCTGCCTGATGAGCTGCACCTGCCTGATGAGCTGCACCTGCCTGATGATGAGCTGCACCTGCCTGATGATGAGCTGCACCTGCCTGATGATGAGCTGCACCTGCCTGATGAGCTGCACCTGCCTGATGAGCTGCACCTGCCTGATGATGAGCTGCACCTGCCTGATGATGAGCTGCACCTGCCTGATGAGCTACACCTGCCTGATGATGAGCTGCACCTGCCTCCTGATGAGCTGCACCTGCCTGATGATGAGCTGCACCTGCCTGATGAGCTGCACCTGCCTGATGATGAGCTGCACCTGCCTGATGATGAGCTACACCTGCCTGATGATGAGCTGCACCTGCCTCCTGATGAGCTGCACCTGCCTGATGATGAGCTGCACCTGCCTGATGAGCTGCACCTGCCTGATGATGAGCTGCACCTGCCTGATGATGAGCTACACCTGCCTGATGATGAGCTGCACCTGCCTGATGATGAGCTACACCTGCCTGATGATGAGCTACACCTGCCTGATGATGAGCTGCACCTGCCTGATGATGAGCTACACCTGCCTGATGATGAGCTGCACCTGCCTGATGATGAGCTGCACCTGCCTGATGATGAGCTACACCTGCCTGATGATGAGCTGCACCTGCCTGATGATGAGCTACACCTGCCTGATGATGAGCTACACCTGCCTGATGATGAGCTACACCTGCTGGAAGCCTACAAGAGGAGCCAAGCCGGATACGTCGCGGTCTCATCATTCCTCCGGGCACTCCCTCCATGCCAGCCTCGGGGAACCTGCTGCTGGCTTTCATTCAGTTTATTTGTTAAACTCAATAAATCTTTGTGAAATGGTCACCCCTCGTCTCGACTCTGGGTTTGTGTCACAGAGCCGGGCCGTAACAGAGGGGATGATGGAATATATATTGCCTCTAAGTCTGACCTGATCTGTTCTGGTGTTCCTCCGGACGTTGCGTTGGTGATGGCCCAGGCCGCCTCTTTCCTGGTTCTGAATTCAGCTTTCTGTAGGATGTCGATCAGCACTGGGAAGATGTTGGCATCAATGACCGTCTGCAGGGCAGGAGAGTTATAACGTCAGGAGCACATCTCCAAACAGCAGCTTCAGCACTGCTCAAACATTGATGTCATTGTTATGAAATAGAACAACCACAGCAGACATGGCTGAGGAGGAAAGGCTCAGATACTGAGGTTGGTAAGTCTGTGTGTGTGTGTGTGTGTGTGTGTGTGTGCGCGCATCACCTGTATTTGTGCTCTGTTTCCTGCAGTGATGTTTGAGATGGTCCAGCAGGCCTCTTTGCGGATGGACTCTTTAGCGCTGCTGAGGAGGTGCAGCAGACAGGGCAGGGCGGAGCAGTTCAACACCACCTGTGAAAAAAGGTTTACAATTAAGTATGAAAATGAATACAGATATCTAAAAAGGGAACACATGATCACACAGGGTATATGCAGGAATCCTGAAGTCACATGGAAGACCCTTTAAGACCCTTTCCATACATGTTAAGACCTCATCTCCACTTGGAGTTTTAACCTGTTGGCGACACACTTTCCCTCACATTGACTATATACAGTATTGATTGTCCTTCCTCCTTATCTTCCAACCATTTGGACGCAGACTTGCATTTCCCCATAACCATGTTATTTAACAACCGGCGTAAACGGACCTTCGCGCTATCAAGCAGTGAGCGTGCGATGTCCTGTTCAGACGACGTCAAACCCGACGGGATGCCATAAATAAACTACACAGAATCACACTACACACCTACGCAATGATTACATTCAGGCAGACTGTAGAATACCTCTTTGGACCATTTATATACTTATTGAAAACAAGCTACCAAATGTAATAACTTGGAAAATGCCCTTTAATACTTTTTAATAGCCTTCATTTTTTCAACCTTTAAGACCCCGCGGACCCCCTGTCACATCAACTTGGCTCGGTTGCTTGCTGACATTCTAGCTGTTTTTGTCAGGGAATTGAACCGCTATTCAGGGAAAAGATATGTATGTGATATAAATAATCTGATTCTGAGAACAGGGTTCATACACTTTTTCACCAATGACTTCTCCATGACCTTTACCTCATTTTCCATGACCAAATAAATGACTCTTTCTCAGCGTTCCACTGAAAATGGTTTATTTGAACATGGAACAGGAAAATCAGGTCTGCATATGAAACATGTCTGAAACAAATCAAATAGGCTTACTAGCTTCTACACGCTAAAGCAACTAAAATCTCTCACCAGCAAAATACCTCGTCAGTTAAATGCCATTTTAGGTTTCATTACTATACGATACAGTATTTATTATCATTATAGTATTACTAGTTCGGCGATTAGATAAAATATAAATTATATTTGACGCAACTTTAGTTACATTTCCATGACTTTTCCAAAACTTTGGGAAAAATATTGTTTTCCAAAACTTTTCCAGGGCCTGGAATTAGCATTTTGAATTTCCATGACTTTTCCAGGTTTTTAATGACCGTAAGAACCCTGTGATAAATGGTTATATTTTACTTAATTTGACCATGGCCGCCCCTTTTGAAGTTACCACCAGGTCTTTTTAATGGTGCTTCAATTCCACAGATGTATCCCACATGATGACATTTCAAAATCTGAATTAACCCTTTATTTAAAAGTAATAGTCTCATCACTCTCACGTCTTGTCACTATATATATTTTTTTATTCCCTCCTTACTTCACAAACACCAAGAATGAGAATTATGTACAGAACCATAAATTAGGGATGCTCCGATAGACCGGTGCTCTCTATAAATGCCGATCGCGAGAGCCAATCACATGACGTAAAATACATGACACTTGTCTCTGTGCACGGCAAAACAAGCTCTCCAAAAAAATGGCTTCACCGGTCTGGCAGTATTTTAAGGTGTCCGAAAAAGACAATAAAATAGCGGTATGCAACGTGTGTGAAGCAGAAATCCTGCAGCTCCACCCGCTGTGACTGTGAGCGGAGCAACACACACTAAGAGTTAGACCTAACACACTTCCGTTCATTTCTCCCGTGTTATTCTCCAAAGTTAATGTAAACTTGAATAATGTCTTCATTTGAATGTAATAATTATGTTGGTTGTTGTTTGTGGAAGCGCCAGAGAATGAGCATTAACTGAGTTTTAAACATCACTTTAAATGGAAGATCCCCATAGGCCCCGCCCACTCCATCGGATCGGCGATCGGTATCGGCCGATACTGATTCCGGCGATCGGAGCATCCCTACCATAAATCCTCACCTGTGTTTGGATGTCGTCTCCAGTGACGATGTTTCCTACAGCTCTCAAAGCAGGCGAGGCCACCTTGTAGTCCGTGTGCCTGCAGAAACAAATTGTAAGTATTTACGGGTCATATTTACGGTGAGAAAGGCAACAGAGAGCGGAGCAGGACTCACATGAGCAGCTCGACCAGACGCCTGCAGACGCCAGAGTCGATGACGGCTTGGATCTTGTCGTTGGGGCCGTCGGAGAGGTAGGACAGGGCCCAGCAGGCGTCTGCCAGCAAGTCTGGGTCGCTGCTAAATAAAAGCCTGGACAGCACGGGCAGACAGGGTGACACCTAGACAGCAAAGACATGAGTATGCATGATGAAAAACATCACTTTAAATACGCCCATAAATCACACACGATCGACGAGTCAACAGAGCAGCCAAGCTACGTCATGTTGGTTCCTTACGGTCACCGAAATATTAGTTTTTTTTTTTATATATCATTTCATCAAAGAGAGCCACAGTGACGCGTCCTAAAACCCGGAAGTAAACTCCTTCCGGTTCCTTCGTCAAAAACGCAATGCAATGTCTCCATAGGATTTAGGAGCTGGATATAAGGTCTGTGGTTGAGACACATTGAAGAGACGGATCACGTTTTGTTCAGTCGGATAATCTCCACATGTCTACCCTACTTTTATAATTTTCTAATCATAAATCTAGTCGCCAGAAGCTAAATGCTAACGTTATGCTATAAACGAACTACAGCCGGGTCGCTGCTTCAACGTCACGCCAACTTAAAGGGGACCTATCATGCAAAATGCACTTGTGTACGTCTTTTCTACATGAATATGTGTCCCCGGTGTTCCAGGGAACTCACCAAGTGTCAGAAAACACAACCCTCTCTATTTTCCTCCATACCCAAATCTCTAAAAAAGGGGCTGCAACGGATCTGATAAAAACTGATCCAGATTTGAACACTGTCCTGACGTCAGGACGGTGGCGCTACGGCTATTGGGCCAACTCCACCAATCAGGAGGAGACAGCCACGGCCATTGCCGTTCGAAAGCGCTGGAGACGCTGTAGTACATATGCCAGGCCTGTAGGTGGTGCTGTTCTCTCTGAATCAGCCCTTGCTGAAACAGAGCTAAAAAATGTCAAATTGAGCAAAATGAGGCATGGCTAAAATGCATGATCTGTTTGGTATTTTGAACAAAAAAAAGTATAAATATGCCTTATATAGGTATGGTCCTACACTATATTATTATAATATAGCATGATAGGTCCAACTTCAGATCCATATTCAAACACACAGATTCCAAACTGTACGAGTTGAAGCGTTTGTTTGAACAGTCTGCAGGAGGCAGGTACTTGCTTTCAAGCAGAACAGGGCAAACTAACTTAGAGGAGTGTTCACGTGTTTGGCGTAATGACGTACAACGACCTCCACGACTTCTGTAGTCCTATTCAGCCACTTGGTAACAACCATCGTTTCTCAGACACGTCAACTCTTCAGAAATCACCAGTGGGGTCACTGCTGATGGATTTAATGTCCTAGAACAAAACGTGATCCGTCTCTTCAGTGTGTCTCAACCACAGACCTTATTTCAGATACTTTCCAAAACCCTATGGAGAGAAGGAACCGAAAGTGGTAACATGCTAACTTACTTCCGGGTTTTAGGACGCGTCACTGTGGCACTCTATAAGAGTCAATATTAGCCATGACTGCTTACCTAGAAATGCCGCTTATGTAGACCATTTAAACAAGAGTGTACGTTATTGAATTACATTTTCATAAGACGACCATGTTTAGTAAATAAATAGTATAAAGTTACAAAACTTTTCTAGCACTGCGTCATTCGATCTCCAGGGTAAATATTACAGCGACTCCTTGGTAGAGCTGAGAGTCTTTCATGATGTTTTGCAATGTTATCCATCTTATTTCAGTAGGAGACATGTTTTGCATGGATTGAATTGAACAGTAGAGAGGCGAAGTCCCTCCCTTTCCTCCATGGGACCTTATTTCTGAAAAAGTATTGAAGTCAATGGAGAGAGAAAGATTATCTTTCGATCCCGTTTGAATTGTGCCATGAATTACACATATGATGTTTGTCAATTTAAAAGATAATTTTGCAAGTTAAAAAAATACAAATGTGTCGTAAAACTGTGGTAACACTTTTTTTGTGTGAAAGCGCTCAATGAACTCCATCTCCCGTCTCGCACCACACACCCAGACGGCCGTCACGTTGGCACATTTCACTTCTTTCTTTCAGAATGAGGCGGAAAGTATTAAAAGAGGTGAAAATCACTCCAAGTCTGGGCATGTTGAGAGCTGTACATACACACAAGGGGAGTTAGTCGGTTCCTAAGAGCCAGCATGCGGGACCGGGACTCTGGGATTTGTAGTCTTTCTAGTTGCGTATTTTTCATAGTCTTATATTTCAACAGTTTTACGACAAACTGTGACTTTTTTGACATGGAAATTATTTTTTAAGATTGACAAACATCATATGTGTAATTCATGGCACAATTCAAACGGGATCGAGAGATAATCTTTCTCTCTCCATTGACTTCAATACATACTTTTTCAGAAATAAGGTCCCATGGGTCGGAAGTAGATGGGCCGGACTTCGCCTCTCTATGTACCAACATGCTTCCACATGTTTATAAAGCAACATGTTGGAAATCCATGATGTAAAATGATCAGAGTTTTTGGTGTTGACTTCATCGTTGGTACCTTTTCAAACGCAGGTGGAGGGTTTTTCCCTCGACACAGATTAGACAGAGCCCACACTGCGTTCCTAGTCATGGTCAATCTAGTGGATTTGGTCAGAAGCCTGAAATGACAAAGGAGAGCAAAACTCATGAGAGGATCAGAAATATGTAAAAACACAGGTAGGAAACGCTCCAGAGGCAAAGAGGATGGACTTACATTAATAATGGTGGAAGAATGTCGCAGTTCAGCACGTAGTCTCTGCACACCGCACTGTCTCCTGCAATATTACCCAGGGCCCAAACAGCCTGCAGGATGAAATAACATTAGGTATAAAAGAATAGAACAAACACAAGACGGACACATCATACCACACACTGTGGGTTACCTGCTCTTGGACATCTTCAAAGTCTGAGTTCAGTAGTTCGATGAAGATTGGCACCGCTCCGGCCGCAATCACAGTCTTCGTCTGCATGGATGTGCCGGATGCTATGTTGGTCAGTGCCCACGCTGCCTCGAACTGCAGGGCAAACAATGATGCAGGGAAATCAGATGATATTTCAAATATACTTTACTACGAAGCCTGAACAGAGAAAATCATGTTAGGTCAACAAACGATAAACTCTATTTCAGTTACTGTTACTTTTCAAGCATTCGAGATAAGCGCTAACAACTCAATGCTCAGTGCAGAGCTGTAGAAATGATGGACAGTTCAAAACGAGTCTTTTATTCTACCCGAGTCAAATGCATTTTTTGACAACGTTACGAGCGAGCATACCAGGAGACACAAATTGTATTATTTATTAGGTACACGTGTTATGCATCGAGGATAGAGAGGCGAAGTCCGGCCCATCTACTTCCGACCCATGGGACCTTATTTCTGAAAAAGTATGTATTGAAGTCAATGGAGAGAGAAAGATTATCTCTCGATCCCGTTTGAATTGTGCCATGAATTACACATATGATGTTTGTCAATCTTAAAAAATAATTTCCATGTCAAGAAAGTCACAGTTTGTCGTAAAACTGTTGAAATATAAGACTATGAAAAATACGCAACTAGAAAGACTACAAATCCCAGAGTCCCGGTCCCGCATGCTGGCTCTTAGGAACCGACTAACTCCCCTTGTGTGTATGTACAGCTCTCAACATGCCCAGACTTGGAGTGATTTTCACCTCTTTTAATACTTTCCGCCTCATTCTGAAAGAAAGAAGTGAAATGTGCCAACGTGACGGCCGTCTGGGTGTGTGGTGCGAGACGGGAGATGTAGCTCATTGAGCGGTTTCACACAAAAAAAGTGTTACTTCACAGTTTGACACATTTTAATTTTTTTGACTTGGAAAATTATCTTTTAAATTGACAAACATCATATGTGTAATTCGTGGCACAATTCAAACGGGATCAAAAGATAATCTTTCTCTCCATTGACTTCAATACATACTTTTTCCTAAATAAGGTCCCATGGAGGAAAGGGAGGGACCTCTCTATAGCCGAACCGTGCGAGTTCAAACTGACCTGGAGTGTGCAGTTGGTGCTCATCTTCAAGAACTCCACAAATCTATCCACTACTCGAGCTGTGTTTATAACTTCATCAATTGGAGGGTTGGGCTCTGAAACAAGGGAGGTCAAGAAAATGGATGTAAGTCATATTGTTTGGTTCATTGTGACCTCCTGACTGACGGCACAGTTGTGTAGATTCACTGTTAAGCACACGATAAATACCTTTGGAAAGTAGTTTTCTGAACTTTTGTGTTGTGGCGAGCTGAAGCTCCGGGTCCTCCGAGAAAAGCATCTCAACCATTTCCTTTGTAATGACACCTTCCTGCAACAACACACAGGCAAGCATTTTCAAAACTTGATCCACTGACTCTTCTCAACCTGCAGGCTGGAAGAAAAACTAGACCAAACAAATCTAAACAATGTTCCTGTGTGAGCTTCTCTTTATCTATTTTGTGTGAAAGGTATTAGGAGAAATAGACACTCACTGTAACTGGAGAGCTGAGGTACGAGTCCACTAGAGGGTTCTCAAACATGGCCTCCTCTTCATTGAGAACGTCCACATTCCTCCTCTTGAAAAGCTGTGAATATAAGACAGTTGGAGACCACAAGACACAGTTAAGCCACACCATGTTGAGTATGCATAAATGAAATCCTGCAATAATGTCAAACAGAGAGATAAAGGATCTCATGAGTGGGATTGGTGTAGGTATAAGACGATGTGAAAATAGCACTATCCACTAGGGCTGTGCGATTATGGCAAAAATCATAATCACGATTATTTTTGGTCAATAATTGATATCACGATTATTAAATATACGATTATTCATTGACTTTGAAAACATCCATTTATTGAACTTTAAAACAAATACAAATAATAATTTGAACAGTATCTTTTTAACTGTTGATTTCCCTGAACGTAGAATTCAACTGAAAAACCAATACAAAAATAAATAAATGATACATTTATATTTACATTTAAATAAATAATATAAAAATAATAAATACCAATAAAAAAGATCAACAAATATTTTGGCGCGCACTTCAACAAGCTGCTAAACATATATAAATATGATAAATACAAATAAATGTGATCAAATATGTTGCACTGTCACAACCAAGCAAAGCAAAATAATCGTTTTTTTCGATTATGTTGTTTTCGTAATTGTGGCAGGCCAAAATCGTAATTGCGATTAAAATACGATTAATTGCACAGCCCTACTATCCACTCAATTAGGGTATTCATCACACCCCAAAATGACATCCTGTTTCATCCCATCCCAGTTTGGTTTAATACCTGTTGTTCTCGTTTCTGTTTCCTGAGTTGGACGCCCTCCTCCTCTCTCCGGCGCCTCATCTCCTCCGGGTTCAGTGCTTTGTTCTTGTAGCGGTTCATCCTGTAGTTGTTGTCTTTGGCCGGACTGGCTGACGGCTCTGATGGGACACAGAAAAAGGTAGAAATCAAGATTAAGAAACAACACGATGTTTGCTTCAAGTTGATCTCAACATGTGTATCATGTGTAGAGAACAGTAAGTGAACAGAGTATGTTTCATCACTAAGAATAGGTCCAGATAATGACACAGCATGTACACAGGTCTATTTATAAAAGCTTGCATAAATACACTCGTTGAAAATGGACTACACATCCCAAAAACACACACACACACACACACAGCAATGCTATTCAGTCAGCTGGCAGGCAGAACAAACGTCTTTATGCAATTGAGTTAAATCGCAGAGTTAGCGTAAAGTGGTGCCCACACACAGGACAAACTGCCCATTCTCAGCATTTGTGCAGTCATGCCACCAGAAAAGGGCACTGTGCAGATCCCTGAGTGACCCGGGGCTACAGGGGAGAGAGAAGCAGGGACAACTTTGAAACCTGCCACCAACACACGGTGGTGCCAACTTTCTGAGCCAAAAGCCCCCCCATTGTAACAACAGGAGTTTACAAGGGTAAATATTAGAACAAGTGGCTCAAATTGAGGTCATGTTTTGGTTTGAGGCTATTAGCACAACCAGCCTCATCTAAAGCTTATGCATGTGTGTAATGGGCCCAGATGGTAAAGCCACAGGCGTGGACCGCACGTGAGTACAGGTTGTGGCTGGATGCTCTAATTTCTGTACTGCGTTGGTTGTACTAGCTGCTGTATGTGAACTGCACCCACTGGTTACTGGTGGGGCTTGATGGCACAGAAATAGCACTGCAGAGGATGAGTCTGCGTTGGCATTTCAGAGGAGACCCTAACTACAGCAAGGAGTCTCTGAAGGGAAAAGAGTAAAATGGTGAGAGGTGTTTTAGTAAATAATTAATTAGTTATTCAAATAAGATCATGTAGCTACCTAAACCTAGTGGCATTTAGCCATACTGATTGATTTTGTCTTAGTTTTGGGGATTTTAAGTGAGCTGCTACGGAGATTTCTGCCACCACCATAAAGCCGTAGAGTAAAAAACCCTTTGTTGTAGGGCGGTGGAAGAAATTTCAACCGCAGATATATCAAAACAAATCAAAATATCCGTGTTGCTTCATAGCATCAATTATGTTTTAACCAACAGCTGACCTTGGTGACAAATTGAGGGTGATTCAAGTTAAGGACACTTTTCCAACATAAAAACAAAGGGAACCTAAGAGACATCCTGTCACAATAACAATGACCTGATATTTGTTTGTATGTCATATTTCCAGGTGACATGTAGAATTAAGCAAGAAGGTTTGGGACAGTTTGAACATACACGTTAAAAGTAAGTTCACACTAAATTGAAGAATATGAAGGGCTTGAAAACACAAGCACAATCCTAGCCCTAGGGAATAGTCTGGAAAACATGGGGACCCCCGGTGTCCCACACGTGAGTACAGTATGCTGTCAGATACATCAAAAACTATGCTTACTGATGCTCGTAAACGGTCAGAAATATGGATTTAACTAGGTTAATTATTTTTCTTTTATGTTAAAAGGTTTGACAACACGAACTGAATATAATCATATAAACACTAACTTATGGTTCAACTGTATATACAATATAAAGCATGTTCATTCTGCTAAGTTTTTTATATATTTGGTGTAAATATTTTTCCTTTATCCTAATCAATGTTAAATCGTTTTTGAAAAAAAGGTTTATTTCTTTTATTAACTGATATATTTATGATCTTCTCTTACAACTTATTTCCTTATGTTTGCAACACCAAAGCAAAGTCTTTGTATCTGTAAACGTACCTGGAAATAAACTGAAATTCTGATTCTGAACTGTGTTGAAAAACATGGCTGTAAAAGAGCTAATATAGCTTAGCTAGCGTTAGCATGATCTGCTACGCACACCCATCGGTGTCTAATAAATACGACTATTAAAATGTGTCATCTTATTGATGATGTCTAATTACCTTTTCTAAGTGATTCAAAGTATAATGGCAAATAACAATCGCTCTACCCACCACAAAACACCTTACACACAGCTAACGCTACACAACGTTTGACATGCACACTACGTAGCATTAGCTCAACAGCTAACATTAGCAATAGTTGTATGCAAAGAAACACGACACCCGGAGACATTAGAAAATGAAACTTTAAAAAGCTGGCAAGCAAGCAGATCTGTGGATATAACTCATATTTAGATTTAGGCAAAGTTTAGGTATATGCTTCGTGTGTCTTCCTAAATCCTAAAAAGGTGGTGCTAATTAGCTTAGCTATTAGCCACGTTTCGTTAAGTAGGGTAACAAATAACCCTTTCTTTGGTTATAATTACCGTTATATGACACATTATACATTATGAAACACTGACCTAAGACTAGATAGTGAGCTGACAGAATATTTACGAAGAGAAATAGCGTAAAACAGCAACTCAATCTGCGCTAATGTTACTACGTAGCATCTTAAACTAGAGTTAGCTCCCTAGGTAGTGAGTTAGCTACGTCTTTAGCTAAACAACAGTGACAGGATAATTTTCTTTTCTTTAATCCCGATTTAGAAACCCAGATATGTAGCTCCTAAACAAGTCATCTGTACCCTCGATTTGTCCAACAGCTTACCCATTATGTCGTGTTGAGTGTATCAAGTCGTGAAGATGGGAAGTAATTTTAAATCCTTTCTCTCTCCTAGCTTTCCAGAATTTGCTCCTGTAAGCAATATGTCTGCCGGAGACGGAAACGTCAAAATATAACAGCACCAACAGCTTCCTGCCAGCAGGGGGCGCACCAGTTTCACAAAACACTCCTCCTCACATTTAGCCACCATCAGTAATGGATAACAAGAACGCTACCACACTCACATATAGGTAATCAACAGTGGTGTAAAGTAGCTAAGTAGATATACCCAAGCACTGTACTTTAGTACCATTTTGAAGTACTTGTACTTTACTTGAGTATTTCAATTTGTTGTTACTTTGTACTTCTACTCCACTACAATTCAGAGGTAAATGGTGTACTTTTACTCAATTTCCTTTATTTAATACCTTTAACTACTTTGCAGATTTGGTTTAATGATGTGAAATATAATCAACACTTGAATAAGACCTCATTACTATTATTCTGAAATGGATCTGCATAATGACTACTTTTACTTTTGGTACTTTAAGTATATTTTGATGCTTACACTTTTTTGCTTTTACTTGAGTAACATTATGAATAGAGGACTTCTACTTGTATCAGAGTATTCTTACACTCTGGTAGTTTACTCAAGTAAAATATCTGAGTACTTCTTACATCACATATCTATAATGAATTAAAGACTGGATTTATTTAAGTCCGTAACAGATACATTGGTCATCATCCCTACAGTTTCATTATGAATATATGACATCATACCAGTTAATTATATAATATCATACCATGCATTTAATCAAACAGATACCACTCTGTCTTGAATAACTCCCTCCCTGCGTGTGTGTGTGTGTGTGTGTGTGTGTGTGTGTGTGTGTGTGTGTGTGTGTGTGTGTGTGTGTGTGTGTGTGTGTGTGTGTTGGTTCCCCAGCGTTTTCTCAAAGTGACTGTGACAGAGTAATACAGGTGAGGTGCATCCATGGTCAATTTGCTGGGAGCAGGTAGTGTTAAATTACTGCACTATATCGTGGTTCAGCATTGTCCTCTGACATGGGCCTGGAGAGATACACCAGAAAAAACATTAGGGGGCAATGTTGTACAAATAAAATGGAAACAATGGGGCACTGCTTTCAGGCTGGCTTTTTCACTATTTAAAAGGGTGTGGGAGGTCAAGTCAATTGTAGCGCAACCAGATACTCCATGATTGCAATTTCTTAGCAGACAAGAACCAATATTGTTCATAGATCCATGCTCCTCCAGAGCAGCCAGTGGCTCTTGGCTTCACTCAGCCATCAGCAGGTGTGCTGGCTCTGAGATGAATCAAAAGACACTGCTTGCTGAACAGCAACTCTCCACTGGTATCGAACAACACAAACACATAGGAGCACACATCCAGTCTGCAGGGATGCAGCTTGGGCTCGTCCAATCTGATTTATGATACGATGAGATACGATAATACTTTAATGGTCAGATCAAGTCAGAAATGTGACTTGCATCACAGCTCCATGTTTAACATCAACATAGACACATATAAAAACACAATACATGAAAAACAAACTACAAACATTTAACATAAAAGCACAATCACTGGATTCATGATTTCACAGGATCCTCCTTTTTAGAGTTATTGACCTTTTTTCATTTATAGGCCTGCTGAAGCTAATCCTACACTTTGCAGGGAAGCAAAGGCTCTCCATTAGTCAATGCCACAGATTAAAGACTGGCTCTGTAATGGAATCATAAGAGCCGAGCAAGGCGTGTAACCGAAGGGTTTTAAACAAGAGTAAAGTGGACAGGTCACTTGGTCACTTCTGCTGAGCACCCACTCACCATCAGCTCCTAATGCAGATATAATAAACCCTGCGATCAATACCCTCATTCAAACGGCTGTGAATTAAAAAGAGAAAAATAACTAAATCCACAAACAGGAAGACCTCTCCTGCTGACCTCATTAGTGGCCATTGCCTGTCTAGGCTGAGTAAGCATTCTGAAAAACTGCCTTTTCAACAATGCTGCTCCAGCAGGATGAGAGCTGCTCGGTGTTGATCAAGTGCAATTTCATCAGAATGAGTTATGAGTGTTTTCTGGCAAGACAGCACATTGTTGGTTAATTGTATTTCTACAGCAGGAGCTTTTTTTCTCCACCTTGTGTCCAGAGAAACATTCAAAAGAGCGTTATCTCCGTATTCTCACTGCTTTTCTGACAGTCAAAATTAATATTTTTCATTTGTAGAAAGAGAGTTTTGTTTATCCAGTGGAGACATTTCACATCTGCCCTGTTTTGCATCATGTTCCTGGCAATACATCCATGATAAAACATCAAGCAGGACTCAGATCTCTGCAGGTGGAACTGCAACAATTGTTTACATGCACCACATAAAGAGACTAACAACATCAAGGAGCATGTTTGCAGAGTGAAAAACTCAATTATGAAGCGTCAAAGGCAGTTTAGTTTTGATTCTGCTTATTTAATTGTGCAACTATACCCCGTTTAAACTGCCTCCTTAATTCAATTACACCCAATATGATAATAAGGCCGGTTTGCTGAAATGTGGTTGGCCTGCCTGGGGGAGAGAGAACATCTGCAAGGCTCACTGCTGAACGCTTTGTGCGAGAGTAATAAAGGGTGAGACAGAGATAACGCCATGGGGAGGATAGTGTGCGGCGAGTGCAGTGTGTCAGTGCATGTGGGGCGTGAATGGAGAAGGGAAGATATGTCTTTATAATATAGCATTGAAAATCCATTCAGGGCTGTCCATTTCTTACTTTTTTATCTGACGACTGGGGTCCTCTCAGTCTCTGTCTCCCTTTCTGACATCTACCAGGTGGCGGGGGCCGATAAGTGAGATGCTGAGTAGGTGATTTTCAAATATTCTTGGGGATCATTCAATCATTCCTTGCGTGTGAGAGAGGGAGATTTGTGGGAACCATTTGAATATTAATGTAGAATTTAAAAACCTCACAGGATAAAAGGCTCCGATGGACAAATCTGTATTCGCAGGGACTAGAAATGACAATGTCAGCGAGTAAATATAGCTACCACTTTTCATTCAAGAAGACTAGAGCTGCATGGGATCTCACTTTAACTGGGAGTCCTGGTGTGATAATCTTTCTTAAGGCGAGACACCCCAGGTGAATAGGGTAATTTTTTTAACTTAAAGATATCAGCTAGAAATTTCTCCAGTTAATTACTTACAATAAGGCAATTGTTTTTTGTATTACAAGTTTTCTGAAATAGCATGTTTAAATATGCAAATGATCCATTATCTCATGAAATATGCGCATATTTTAACACATTTCAGGAACCGAAATCTGAACTTTGGATAAAGCCAGGATCAAAATTATTGTTTCATTTTGTAGTCATATTAGTATCTAAGGCTTTTACAGAAGGGATTTTGGATATCTCTTTGTATCACTCCATAAATCAGAAAATACTGTCAACAGCCCTAAAATATCAATTTTCACCATGTTTTTAGGTATAAAATGTTATATAATTCAGGCTATGAATTATATATGACCAAACCCTTCTGTAAAAGCCTTCATAATATTGATAGGAATAGAACTGGAAGGTTTGGTGTATGTAACTGCTACTGAAGTGGAAATTTCGAACTCAGAGTAGGAGAAAAAACTCATTTTGAGAAAACGACCTTTAAAGATTTCAGTGTGACGCTAGCTAAACCCTCCTGTTCTCTGGATGATAGCTTGCGCATCGACGCACTCCGTGAAGGTATTTCATGTTCGGGGTCATTTGTTTTTTGTATAACCTTGCTTTGTGCAAGTGACAATTGTTGTCGTCTTCTCTGTGAACGTTTTTTTTCACCGTTATTTTGCCATTTTCAGATTTAAATTTCTAGCGGAAAGCTAACCAGGAAATGCTTTAGCACACCACGTGACGCATCTGAACGAATCACGTTGTCAGAAATTGACACCAGCCAATGAGATTTCGTTTCTTGGTTTAAGACCCCTTTGCACTTTCACGATTGGTTGCTGATACAAAGGAAATGACCATATTTGGATCCGATGAGATTGTGCAGGAGAGACGGAGCTTTCAAACGATACCTCTGATGACATGGTGCAAACAGCGGTCGCGGTACTTTATGTTACGTTAGAATGCTAACTTTTGGTGAATGTAAGAGAAATCTACAGACGCAAATAGACAAACTATAGTAAAATAAACACTTAAATGTGTATTTTGTACGTTTTCCTTCCAAAAGCCTGAAAGAAAACATGTTATGGAATCAAAATAGCACAAAATCTCAAAATTGACCAGTGCAGGAAAAACGATGTTTTTGCCTGCCGTGTCTCGCCTTAAACCACAATCCAATCACACACAGAGCCATTGGACAAGGCTGAGCTACTCTTTCTTTCAGGAACCTCTCCAGAAAACCTTCATCCAGGATAGAGCAGTCTTCAACCTACACAAGTTCTCCAACACTCCTACGCACCCTTCACTGGCTAGAGATGGCTGCTCTGATCCGATTCAAGACATTAGTTCATGGTTATCATTCTCTGAAAGGCTCAGGCCCATCGTCCATCCTGAACATCGTCAAACCGGACAACACAGCCAGTCCACTGTGCTTTGCTTCTGCCAATCAATGAGCTAATCCCTCGCTACAATAACATTGACTTGCTGTCTTGATCAACAATCGTGAAACAAGCTCCCCATTGACACCAGGACATCAATAAACAGATCTTCCATTGCAGATTGAATGTGTTCAGGCTGCTCCTTCGCCCACTGGATTAAATACAAAAAAAACATTGTTAATTTCTAATTGTATATGCAGTTCTTGAAGTAGTGAACTGAAGACGTTCAGTATATTTGCTGAAGTTGTTGTACCTTTATTTTAGGTTGTACTTGGAGGAGTTTTATAGAATGTTGTTGTTACTTTTGCGGACGTTACGGTCTGATCATTGCATACAGAATGTCTCCTCTGCAAAACCTAGTTAAGATGAGCGACACATCTAGGGCTCTTCACCCTGGGAATTCTATCCAGACAACCTTTCTCTCTCAATACACATTTCAATACATGAACTCAAGGTTAAGGATATCTACAAAGGATATCCAATACAAAGGCTTTTCCCCTCTGAATTTA